ATATATGGTGATTTACTGGGAATCCACAGGATGTAACACTAAAATCCATATTTGCGGGGTGAGCATGTAGCTTCCTAAGCAGCACAGTTCTTACTGTTTTGTCCTTTTTAACCTATTTTTGTCCTCAGAACATGGCCCCAGGGAAGAAACTTCAGATTGCCATTTTGGAGGCAGGAACTAAAACTGAGAAGGTGGGAGGGAGGGTAGAAGTTAAACAAAACATTCATCTTTGACTCAGAGCGAGACCTTTCGTTTCCAGGTGTTGCAATATGCACATAAATAGGAGTTATTGCCCACAGAGATTTAAACAGGGAAGGGCTTGATTTCTGCACACATTAAATCCTGGGAAAATGTTGCACCGCATGTTTGGAATATTTTGGAAGAAAGCATATTTTGGAAGAAAGTGATACAAAAGCCTATTCTGATGCAAGCATCCAGGGGGAAATTTTGACAAGCCGTTGCTGATCTGTAATTTCTTTTGTTGCAGATTTTTGGAAAATGGAAGGGTATTCAAAAATATCCAGCACTCTTACTGCCTTCATGGTAGCCAATTTTCCCGCTGAACTGAGGGTCTGGCTAAGGAAATGTTCCCATTAGGTTTCAGTGTATTCCTCGGTGTTGTTTTGCTAGGTACTACTGTCTGTGTGAAGGACAAGCAGATCAACATAATCTTCCCCTTCTAGTAGAAATATAAGGAAGCCTTAATTAAAAGGACATAGCTTTTCCTTGTTTTCTTTCTGCAAGATGCCTGCACCTGGGATCTACTTGGAGTCCCTCACAGTTGCATATGAGCTAGGAATTGTGGAAATGATCATTTAAATGATCCTTCTCTCTTTCTGAGCTGACGTAAGATGATCTATCCTACACGAAGTATCCTGTTTTCTTTGAAATTTTGCATTCGAGTTCCTGCAGCATTTTGCCCATTTAGGTGTATTCTTGCATGACAGTCTCTAATCTGGGGTCAGTTATCTGGTAGCATCAGCATGATTTCTTATGTGGAAATGAGTGTTCTACATTTATAATTTCCAGCCTTTCACCGAGAGGTGAAAAAGTCTGGCTGGAGGAAAATCTTTTAATCAAAAGCTATTATCGACAGCAATTTTTTTTTTCAGTTTGTGTGAGTCTGTGTGTAATCCTTTTGTCAAAAATGCATCCTCTTAACAGTCTGAAAGCTTACATTTCAACTCAAAACACTCAATATTTCATAGTGTTGACATCCTGCCTGTTTGCAAAGGGCAAGTTAACTCTTGCCTAGGCAGATGGAGCCACCAGAAGAACACATACGGGGCAGAGGGCTGTGGCTATGGAAATTAAAATGTGGCTTTCTTCCTTTCTGCTCTGCTTCACACTTGGGCTTTTCGTCTGCTCTAGACCAGTGATGTTTACTATTTGCAATGTTTATTACTTACAATGTTTATTACTTATCATATCTATTAATAGCTAAATTTGCTGCATTTCTCTCTGAAGTGTATGGTACTAGCAACTGTTGGAAATAGGATGCAGATTAAATAGACTGTATGTTTGTATTGGTTTGGCAGACTCAGTAACTACCTGTGAGACTGATGCAATTGCCTTTTGTTTCTTGAACCTAAGCATCATTTTTGCGTTACATATATATTCTCCTCATTTCCACTTGTATAAACTACAGAGTAATGACATTTGGGGAGTTCCTTGCACATGGAAAAGGAAGACATGAAACTTGAGGCTTTTGGAAGAAGTGGAAACAAAAGTCCTTAAAGCCAATCCAGACAGTCTTGAAACATGAAAGCAAGTTTTATTATAGAGGTTAGTTTGCATTACACTCATTTATTAAAACCTAAGGACATCTTTATAAAAACTACTGTATATAAAGACAAGAGCAGTGCAATAGCAGTGTAAAACACGTTTTTGGTTTACCTGGCAATCACTGTAGAAAGACAACATAATATGAACTTAGAGTATACTGCAAAAAAAATAGGACAGGATTAGATCAAAAACCAGATTAGCAAATCACTGGACACGGGCACATATTGAACTCAAACATTGAGTGTTATGTAAACAGTATTATTGTCAATGTGTTAATAAAGAGTAACTACTGTGACCCTAGAATTTCTAGTTAGCTTAATTAGCCTAAAATTTGACTGCAGACTATTAAAATAGACTACTGTACCATATACCTTATACTCCTAGTAACTTGCCATTTATGTAAGAGGAGAACTAGAAGAAATGCTTGTCTTGCACAAGAGAGTTTTCAAGGCCGGAAAACACATTTTTTTTCTGCTGTGTGGGTAGGTTTTTGCTTTTTGCTTTTCTCCTTTCAGAGACCATTACTGGTGGTTAAATAGAATGGACTTGAAAAATCACTGTGACGTGGTACTTCATAACTTCTTTATGTGGACAGTTCTCATACAGAAATTACAGCCATAGTAAAACTATCAAAAACAGTTATCTAAAATAGCTGCTACAATATGCTGAAGTATACATTAAGAGGCCAGATTGTTTTCACTTTGTTTGTAAGATTGATACCAGGCACAAATGATGGTTAATTACAACACCGACTCCTGCACAAGCTTTATAACATATTTTTTTTAATGTCCTATATTACGCACAGCAATCATTAGGAAGTTGGACAATCAGTTCCTAGCAAAACATAAGAGAGAAAACATGTTGGACAAGGAAAGAGCTTTGCTGGAGCACAAGTATCATAGTAGCCACTGAAATGGGCTGTTGCCTTTGCTAAATAGGGTGTACAATGACGATATATACTTCTGTAAAGGGTAGTTTTATATATCCATTCTTTTTTTTTTTCTAATTATATTAGGATGGACATAGAGAAAGTATATTTATTTTAGTTCAAAAATCTTTTTTTTTGAAAGAGAGAGAGATTGTACTTGAGCCAGTCTCTTTCTTCCTACAGACTTAATGGAGGAATTCAATGCAGTTTATATCTGGGTTTACTTTAGAGATGGATGAGATGTGTGGATTGTTGTTTGTCTCGCCAGTGCTCTTCTACAGTGTCTCCAGCAATACAGGAGAGGGGCTGATGATGACAGTGGTAGGGAAGCAGCACATGGTGCACTATTTCCCTTTAAGGCCCAACTACTATTAGCTTTATCTTATGTTCTGCTAAGCTAGATAGGCTATCAAGTGATTATAGTAATATAGTTGATGAAAACTTCATCATTTATATCCATAAATTAATTGGTGAACAAAATCCAAACTTCTGCCAGAGAGCTTCTACCCTATGTTAACTGGCTCTGTCTAGAGATTCAAAAAAAAAAATGCACATCAGTTACAAGGTATACATGTACTAGAAGTAAAGCATAAAACTGCTCATTAATAACGCACAATTCCCAAAGGGAAAAAAAACCCTTACAAAATACAGTAAGTCACACAAACCAGTCTCGGATACAAATTCCTGCATGAACATAAGCTTTTTGCAAAGATCTCTGTGGTGGTTGCAACCTCACAACTAAAGCAGCTGCGGGCAGCAAGTAAAAGGAGTCAATAGGGGCCTGCAAAGTGGGTGCAGGTGGACTCTTGGGGTGGGAAGACTCTACTGAAGGAGTCTTCTCAGAAAACTAAAATCTCTTAGTGTGCAGGGTTGCACACTCATCAGTGACACCTGAACACTTACTAGCTGCTGCCTGGCCTTCCTCCCTCAGCGGTACTTCTGCTTTTACTCACTGCATGATTTGCAAAGAAAAGAGGCATGAGCATATTCCCACCCTACTCAGCCTAGGTCTTTGAAGACCAAGCAGCTCTATGCTAACACAACTGGCCTCCCCTTCTTTAATCTCCAGCGTCATTGGCTCCTCCAACACTATTCTGGGTGGGTTTTGTGGTTTTATCAACTTGCACTACAGGAGCTCCAATCACTCAATAACCTATCCCTTAGGAGTTCAGGGGAAGACTAAAATGTGAGCAGACATAGGAGGTACAAAAAGAAAACTTGATGCTACCTCACTGACAAGGTGTTCCTGAAATAGGCCTTACATTAAAACACAGAGCAATTCAGAATTGTAGGACAAACATGAGGGATGAAGAAATAATTCAGCATTAACATGGTTTTGCATGGTGATTTCCAGAGGGACTTGTCTGCTTGGTTGCCACTGTCAGGTGGCAATATAGGATTGAATTGCACAGGAGACGTTCCTGCAAAACATGGTGTCTGAGTTCAAAACAAACCTGTCCTGTGGCCAGGTAAGTCACACTGTTGTGATGTGTTGACCGGGTGCTCCCTACCCTTCTGGTAGCCCTTCTCTGCCTTGCTTATGAAGGAACTCTTCGGTTTGTGGGGGCAACATCTGTCAGCATCTGGAGAGTTAGATTATTGCCATGTAAACCAGAGGGACATCAGTGTTATTGCTTTGCAGTGTAGGTTGTCATTTTTTCCTCTAATTTTCTACCCACTTCAAATGGGATGAGGAGCGGACTGGGGCTCCTATTCTGCTTATGAAAACCTGCCTCTTTCAGGAGGACCTGTGGAGCTGGAGCCCATCAGCACTTGCATGCATTTGGGGGTCTTATCTGAAATATTATCAGTGGTCTTAAAATAAGTAGTAAGGTTGAAACAGTTGCTGCCCTGCAAATCTGACTGAGCAAAAGGGCTTCCCTTAACTGGTAAAGTGTGAGGGCACCAGTGACTGGGACTGGCAGCATCCGCCCTGTTGTGGCATCACGTCCACCAGAGAGCTTTGGCAAAACTCACATTCACTATTCGGACACTCGGATTAGGCTCGAATGGCAATAGCTGGATGGGGAGGCAAAGAAAGGTTATCTATCAAAGGTTGGTCTGGTGACCTTTTCCCACCTTTGCGTGGATTTGCCAGAGCAACTTGATTTTTCTTTCTGCTGAGCATCTCCTCAGATATGATACTTCCCTTCAGAGATAATATTAGCGGTCTAGAATTAAAATATTGCTTACAGGCTACTTCCTTCTGGAAACTCTTTCTGCGTCATTTGTCTATAGAAGTTGTCCAAATTGTGATTCTCTTTAGGTGACTTGATCAATTTCCATCCTGTAGTCTTTCTCTCTCTCATGCTTATCTTCCCTTTTTTTTTCCTACTCTGTTATTTAGTTAGTTTTCTTGAAAGCTGCTCCTTGGAGTCTGATCTTACCTCTCCCATCTTGAGGCACATCAGTATAGTTTTCTGGAAGACAAAAAAAAAGGCAAATGTTCCCATTATGTTTCATGACCTTGCAACATCAAGGTATTTTCTTATAGGTAAATCTGGATTTTTTTTCAGCTGTGGGTTTAATTGCAGGGAGGGATGGCAAGGAAAGAGGAAGGACGAGGGCAAGAAAGAAAGCAGAGGTGTTGGGAGGACTCCTGCCAGCTGGGTGTAGCAGGGCAAGAGCAGCCTGAAATTTGGGAATTTAGCAGGAAAGAAAAAGTGATGCTTTCCTGCATGTCATTCAGTCTTGGCTGCTGGAGATGGCAGGGTTGATGTGGACACTGCAGAGTGCCCCATCCCACAGGGATGCTGACAGCAATTGACCCTTGGACATAGCTGGAATCTGAGATAGAGATACAAATTGGATTTCATCCCAAGTTATTTTTTGTATGCATGCCCGTATAACATGTGTCATTATTGCACCTGTGAGAATTTTCTTCTAAAAGCTGCTTGGAAAGGTGAGAGAGGAAATGCAAAGAACTTCTAAACCCTTCATTTCTGCTGCTTTGTAGGGTGCCCTGCAAGTACTGTGTGTGGCAGATTGCTTTCTGCTACAACAAGTTTACTTGTAAATATGCTTTGCTTGCTAGGACAATCTCAGAGGAAGCAAGTGAAGTTTACCCGAGTGAACTTCATTCCTGTGACTGAATGGTAACTGCCTGTATCAAATGCCAAGGAATTTTCTTATTGCAGAATATTGGAATAATCTTATTGTTAACTAGGTACCTATCAGACAAAGAACAGACCACTTCCTCTAATCCCAATTCCTTTCATATAATGAAAAAATGCATCCCTATTTCCACATATGTAAAATAGAATTATACTTATGTGTTTTCCTTAGAAAGTATGTGTTACTTTTTGCTTGCACTGCATCTTGAACATAACAAATGCTATAAATCTGCCCATACTCACCTTGTGCAGAGTGCATGTGTGTGTGCGCACAAAATAAGCTGTGATTCATTGGCATATTTAGCACACAGGCAAAAGGGATGAAAACCTAACTAGGTTAAATTTTGAGACAGACCAGGATTAATAATAAAAAGAATGAAAAATTAAAGCAATGTACTTTTTGCTCAAATAAGCAAGCCTAATGGTACAAACACAAGGTGTTGGAGGCAGAATTTGGTATTCTAGTCATGAGAATACATAATTAACTTCTTCCACTAGACAGAGTTCTTTACATATTAGGTATTCCCAAATCTACCTGCTAAATTATACATACTGCATGCTATTACCGTATAAAGCACAGAGAAACATCTGGGTTAGACTGCAGAATATCTCTGGGAATCAGCATGTTCAGGGGTTATCTAGTGTTTTCCCCTCAAATCTATTCAGCTTGTGAGCCTTGAGTCCCAGTTTTTGTGCCAGCACACCTCCATTGAAACTGCAGTGGTGGCTCTGCTTAGCAGGATGAGGTCAGGTAGGTGGCCACCTAAACCCCAGCTGAGTTGCTTTCTGTTAATTCAGATTTAGGTTTGTCTGCAAGGCCAAGGAGGAGCCAGAGCGGAGATGGCATCTCTGGCCAACTCCAGACTCAACTTTGGCTGAAGTGGACACTCATGCAATAGGAAAACATGCCTCTTATGAGGGCTTCAGGCAGGGGACATTTAAAACAAGGTCTCTCCTGAGACCTTTTTGAACTAATTTTTTAAAAAATACCCTGAAAAGCGTAAAAGCTGCTGTCACAGCTAGGAGCTACACATGACCTCCAGAACAGGGTTGTTGTTGCTTTGCACTCTTTTGCACAGCACGAAGCACCCTTTCCCTCAAAGGAAATGTTTTACTAACCTAGTCTGAATTATTTAAATTAATAGCTAGGATTTCTTTGATATATTTTATGAATTAGTTAGAGATGGAGTACGTACAGCAGCCATTTGTGTGTACCAGGCCAGACTGCATTTATAAATGTGTCAGACCCATCAGCCCTGATGGAATTAAAGCCTCAACCCTGGTAGGATCAAAGGCAGGATAAAGAAGGGGGAGAGAAATGCTTAACAAAAGGAACAAACCTCCCCTTATGAGCTGTTAAGGAATGGCAAATAAAGCCCAAGGAAGACCAAGACCACTTTCTGCATGTTTGTATTCCACCTGGCTTGAACCACGTCCTGCAGTGAGAAGTTAGAAGAGATTCTGATCAAGGCGAAACATGAGCTGATAAAGTTCATAGGAAATGTCTTAGCTGGTTTTGCTGCACTGGGGTCATTGAAAATGCCCGTATAAAGAAAAGGAAATGTTAATTCCCACGTGCAGTGTGTCACACTTCACCTTCCCAAAGCAAAGGCGGCAGAAACCACCTCTTCGTCACCCGTGGTCACTTCTACTGGATTTTTCTGTACCTATATATCTAAGTGCTCTGGAGCTGGCCCAGATTGCTCCCAGATTACAAAAGTTGCCACCAGCACAGAACCCCTGACTGCCGGCGTCACTGTACGTGGCTGCACCGCCAACAGCACCCAGTCAAGTCACATTAATGTTCATCGCCCAGCAAGGAAGTAGCTAACTAAAAGATCGCCTCTTCTTCCATAGTAATGACTTTGCATGACAGTTTAGTTCCACTGGGGAAAAAAAATGACATGCATTAATAACGAAGGAATGATTCAGTTTGTCTGGATTTCTCAGGAAATTTTGTCATTTCTCTGACAAATGAAGTAAACAGTTGCCATGTTCACAGTCCCAAGGTCTCTTGCTAAGTTGGTGTAGATATAAGAGCTCTACCCTTCAGATGTGGGATAACAAAACAATCTCTACAAAAGTCCACATTTCTCTCTGGTATAAAATTGTAATCCTCTGATCTGTTCTGTGCCTGTTGACATTCCGGTGCAATACCTTTAAACCTGTTGATGCTGGGAGTGAAAGATGACTGTTGTTCTCTTTTCTCATAGAAAGAGCTTGATACAATGCTAGCAGGCAGCCTTCTGTAAAGAGAAGACCTTGGTGGATACAGTGATTACTACAAGCAACAGGGATGTGGTCTTGCACCATAAATTGAGGGAGACAAGGCAGGACAATGCACTAGGTATTGGGGGAAAAAAAAAAAAGAGCTTCACAAGATTGAAAGGAAAGGATATGGGAAATGAATTGCAGGGCAACTACCAAATGAAAAGCCACTCAGTTGTCTAAATATATTACAAACCAGAAAGAAATGGAACATAATCTAATCCCTTTGCTTGTGGAGTCTGCCAAGGAGCAGGAAAGCAATTTTCAGAGTTTGGCATCTGTGCTCTCAAACTGCTATATTATACACAGCATATAACATTACATGCAAAATGTATGCAAAGGCACTGCTGAGATAACCAGAAAAGTAATGAAATGCCAGAATGGACACTGCCTGTGCAATTGTAATTTGGACCCCTTGTTTTCATGGAAGAAATATGAAAGTCTCAGACTTCTTAGACAGGTCTTTGATTTGTTTTTCTTTGGTAGACCTTGTATTGGTAAAACTTCCAAATAGCTAAATACTTAACATTTTGAAAATTAAGGGAAAACATATCAAGCACCATTAATTTTTTTTCATGTTGGTTCAGTCCTAAAGAAGTAGAGTATTTCCATATTTTTCACTATTTTGACTATGAACCCTTCAAGCAGCAAAGTTAGATGCTGCTATCTTGCCTTAAAGGTGTAGTTTTGCCCCCTATTTTCATCCCCAGCCTCTTTGATCTTCTACTGCACTACATCACCTCTGATGTAGCACAAATTCACCTTTGGTCTAACCATGTATCATGGCACCCGCATGAGGTCACATGAGGGGGCTGCCTTAATAGTAACAAGTCAGGTTTCTGACAGTCATTATTTCCACCATCACTGGTAGCCAATGCTAATGTTTCTAAAATAATAGTTAGTTCAGAGAAGATGGACATCTGGTACTTACCAGTTAAGGAAAAAACCCTGAGAACCATAATTTTCAACTTGAAAAAACATATAGTTTTCAACTCATGTGCTACTTCTACCTTAGCTATGAAGACACTTCTTCAAAAGTCTAAAAACATTGAAATGCGTTTGAAAGCAAATACCTCAGGAAAATGTTAGGTATTAAACAGAACGAATGTGCAACAAATACCATGATCCATCAGGTTGTTAAGCTGTTTCTTAGCTGCAGAGCTAAGAAAAGAAGGTGAAAATATCTGGGATGTTTGAGAAGCTCCTGCTGCAGTGGGTATGCTATTGGCATTTGAACACATAAATGAGCCTAATGAGAGCCCCTCTAATAAGCAATCAAGTATTTCTGGAGAGATTAAAAATTGCCATGGGGCTAAGTGGCAGACCCCCAAGTCCTACAGAGGCACAGGATGGACAGGTTTGTAGAATTTTGCTCATATTCTATAAGGACCTTTCGGAAGCATTCTTACATGTGCACAGGTGCTAACTAGATTGAGCTGGGGCTCCGTCAGTGACCCTGTGCATGTGCAAATGACAAGTAGAACGATTATTAGATGTTCTAGATAAAGCACAGATGGAGAGCTGTGGAGCCCTACTCGTGGGATTCGCAGTTTGGGAATGGGCAGGGGATTTAGCAGCTCCCTGTTGATTCAGGACTTTCCTTGCAGGGTTTGTTGGCACAGTTGCTCTTTCAGAGGAGTTTATCTACCCTTATCTACCCTTTGCTATCATTGCTATCATTTAAGAGCATCAAGCCAAAGATAAGCTCATTGCAATAGTGAGCTGCTGCAGAGTAGGATGTGTGCATGTTAGCTGATGTATGCTGGAAAGACACAGTCCTTCCAAGGAGGGGACAGGCCTCCTCACACTCATCCATGACATGGGTCTTCTGCAATGTGCCTTGAGCAGCACTGGGGTGTGCTATGCACTTAACCAGCGTATACAAGGCCATGAGACAAAGCTTTTGCTGGAGTGGGGTAACGATTACTTTATATATTGCAGTCCTTCTGAAACAACAAGATAACATGCTTTATGCAACCAATGCAGGAAAAGTCACAATCATGCAAGACATTGCATGTGCTAGTGTTGTTGCTTTGCAG